GTTCTGCTAGCATTGTCTTAGCAGCTACTGCAGATGTGGAATTGCTTGTACATCTATATTTTGCATCTGCTTACTGGTGGTTTTCRGACKKTTTTTTTTTTTTCCCCCAGAGAGGGCTGGCTTTGATATCGCTTTGGATTGCAAGATCTGCAGCATGGGCTTGGTGCAGACTCTTTGCAGATCTCTTAAATTGATTTTCATACAAGTTCACAAGTCTTATTCCTTCATTTTCTACAACTCTTTCAAAAGTTCTAGGATTCTCTTTCCATCTCTTTTCTGGGAMRATRAGTCAGCCGAYTGACACTTGACAAWGGTTTWTGAGTCCTCAGRTTACCCCTGTGGCMATGGTTAGATGTTTCAGGAGCAATTTATAATCACATCTAACCAACACCCCATGCTAGTAACCCAGGAAAAGGATCAGTGACCAGTTTGGTTCCCCTAACTGACTAATCATCGATAAGCACAAGAAATAAGAACTGGGTCAGCCCCACCTTAAATCGATTTAGATGGCCACAGGACCACAACCATGGTTACTGTAAAGTGTAAGCAGAGACACTTCTCTGGTTTTTTTGCTTGTCTGATGCTGCCCTCCCTGATGCCAGCCCAAGTTTTTGAGCAGTGGCACAACAATTACATCAGAGGATGGATCCAGCTGAGAARAAACATCCAGAAATGGAGGAAAAAACAAACAGACAAACAAACAAATGCCCCAAACCAACTGACCAAACAAAAAAAAATGTATTTTCCAGCTCCTCAGGTGCCTTGATGGTACAGGAAGACAAAAGGGCCCCTTCAGCTCTCTGTGCCACTGCTGCAAATCTACATACAATGAGTTTCCAGGTCTCAAAGTGGATCCCTGAAATCCTGGGACTGCAGCACAGCTACTGCTGCAGCAGCCTGGTATCACAGAGCTTTAGCAGAGCAGCTGGAANGCAGCAGCCTGGTATCACAGAGCTTTAGCAGAGCAGCTGGAAGGTTTTGCTTGGCTTTACTGAGAGTCATTTACTCCTCTGCAAAAGGATGACAAATCGAGAAAACTAGAACAACCCAGGCCATCAACAGGAGTCTTACTGATACACACTATTGGTTAACTGCCTTCTCCCGTGTCAAATTCGCCCTTTATTCATGCAGGAGACAAAGCACAGAATATWTTTTGGAATCAGAAAACATTGCTGCTCTCAGTGATACCCCAGTTCACAACTATATGCTTTACATGTCTTGACTCCACAGTCACTAGGAAGAAGATTTACTCTTGACTGATAACTCTACTGGAGGGGAGATGATGGTCAGTAAAAATCAACGTTTARAGTCTAGAGACTCTTATGGGCAATGTAACTTTTGGAGAAGAAGGAGGAAGATGGAAATACAAACTGTTAAACCACATCTCCTGGAGCTTGGATCTCACCTGAGCAGCAATATACACACATCCGTGTATACATGCAGTGTTTTTGCTGCATGTATTTGCTTTATCATTATTTTTCTCTCCAGTGTCTCACTACAGCTGAGGCTTATTCTAACCTCATACCTGACAAACAAGGCAGACTTACGGGTGCTGCTTTCAAGGCCATGGAAAAAAAAATATGAACATGTTAAAGGACATGCAAGAGGTTCCATAAACACGTGCTTCTCTCTCTCATTCTGTAGGGATTCTGATGACCTTGCAGTGCTGTAATCAAGAAATTCATTTCACACTTGATGGTCTGGTTCTGTACAGCTCTACTCACACACCTGCACTGCAAATAAAAATGCTTAACCAGCATTTTACTTGCTAGATGAATGTTTTTCCTTTTCTGAGCTTAAACAAGGATTTAGCACGATTTAGAGAGCAGCTGCATTTCACAGAAAAGCCTTAAATACATAGAACTGCTCATGTGCAGAGGAACCCTGTGACTTAATTTTAGAGGTACTGCAGGGGTTAGGATAAGGGAAGTTACAAGCACTGTGGAGAGGACTCCTGATGAGAAGAGGAACAAATCACAGTGTGATGAAATAGGGGCAATTCCCCACAGGGAGAAGCAAACCTGGAGGCAGCCTTGGAAGCATCACCAGACATTTGCACCTGATGTAGAATGACCAGTGAAGGAAACTCTTACTTCAATCCAGCAGATGATTTCAACAAAGGTTTAGCACACAAGGAGGCCAAAAATTCTATTTTGTGGGAAAAGACACACTGGACTGGAATTTTGTTAGAACAGATCCTCCACTGGGACTCCATTACAGAAGCCAACTCTGTCCCGGTTTCTTAGCAAAGAAACTGGCTTGGAACACTTAAAGAAGGATTTGCCTACTTGAATAAATCTGTCTCCAAAGCTATGCAATGCTTTACCTTTCACCCTCCCCTCCTTTCAAGTCAATGGAAAACAGGCAAGAAGTTCCTCCTCTCTCAAAAGAGAGACCTAAAGCAGTTCAGGTGAACTGTGCCCTAATATTTCCTCTTCTCTCCACTCATCAAACAAGCCWAGGGCAAATTCCTACATCATCTRCAGGTGTCTAACCACAGGAATCTCACCACCACCATCACCACCACCTGCATGGCTCCCAGCAGACATTCTATCCTGTTCCTAGGTTTTTACTCCTGCAATGCCCCTGGCTGTTTTAGCTGGCACTACCTACCCACTAAGCGCAGAGTGAACCTGCAGCTGCAACAAGCAGAGAGAAGGAAGCATTTGGTGCACGCAGCCAGCACTCTCTCCCTTCCAGGGTGTCTTTTGTCACCTATTTGCATGTCTGATTTCRCAGTTGCCAAAGGCAGAGTGTCAGTTTGCAACAAGCTGCGGAGACAGGGAAAGGCTGATTTTCGAGCCCCAACCCAGACTCAGCTTCTTTAGAACCTCACCTCCTGGGAGGCCAGCCCATGCTGRGGCAAAGAGCTGGGGCTGGCTGTGGAGTAGGGGACAACAGGGGGACCACAGAAGCCTGATGCWGTCTCAGCATCGAGTCAGGGGACAGACAGAGCGGGGGGCTGATACCATACATCCCATAATGCTTTGTGCMAGCAGCAAGTGACAAATGTAGGGCAGGGGAGGTGGCGTGCGACCCCCCCTCTTTCCAAGCTGTGCCAGGGGATGTCGGGGTATGGCAGCTGAGCCGGGCTTAGCTGCCTCCCGGGATTTAGTGTCAGTGCGGCAGCATGGGCAGAAATTAACAGGGCTGAGGATTTTCTTTTGGCAGATGMCAGGGGAACTGGAGCGGCTCAGGGAAGAAAAGTGATGAAGGGTTCCYTTCCCTCTATCCATTTCTTCAATGGGAAAATGAAGTCTTCGCACTTGGAAATGGAAATTTTGATTTCTAGAGGCATGTAGGAAGCCGGAGGCAGAGGAAATGCTGATTAAAAAGCCAATCTGTACTATTAACTTGCTCGTTCTTTGTGCGGAGATGATTGCCCTGCCCGTGGCGTGAAGATACGCGGTTCCAATTGTAAAGGGCCCACGGCCATCAGAGAGCCGACAAATTCTTATCAGCAACAGACGGTACAGTTACAGAAAATCCTCTCCATTATGACCGACTTTGCTGTGCTCTGGTTCAAAGAGCGATGAGCACAAAATTCACACCCAAATTCGGGCTTTTAATTATTCACGGCTCCATATTCTCCAGGGCTATGCAAACCCGTATCCTTTGCTTTGTAGATCCCCAGTGCTGAAAACCTCCACAGCTGAACGAAGGCAAGGTCGCCGCGACCTTCCTCCCGCTTCCCGAGGCTGCACACCTCACGCCATCCCCTTCCCTTTAGTCTGAAACCCCGGGGCTCCTMACGGGTGACTCCCCGGGGCCACCGGTGTGCCGGGCGCGCCTCCTCACGCAGGGGTTCACCTGCCACCTAGTGGGGTTTCCCCATTCCTGCGGCTGCATCCGCTTTATCCCTGTCGGGCGGAAAGCGGGGCAATGCCCGGGGAGGTGCGAACCCGGGGGAAGCCGAGCACGGAGCGGGTGCGCACCGGGCTGCGGGAGTGTTCCCGCACAGGGGGTGTGCACCGGCGGGGTGCCGCACACCGGGAGCRGGCTGTGTCTTTTGGGGTGCGAGGGGAATGGTGGCAAACGGACGGGGCGTGCACCGAGCGGGGGCAGCGAAATTCAGCGGGTAGGGGGCACGGAGGAGGCGCGCTCCCGGGGCTGTACACGGGCGGGAGTGTTCTGCTCCCGGGGCTGTACACGGGTGGAGGGGCGGCCGTGGGGGACATGTACGGAGCGGGGTGCGGGCACCGGTGTGTGCGGGTGTCGTGTGCATGTCCGGGCGGTCCCTCGGGGAGTGGGAGGTGCGCATCCCCCGGGAGCCGGGCGGGGCGGGCGAGGCCGGTGCCGGTGCCGGGGGCGGTTCTTCCCGGCGGGGCGGGCACGGCGGAGCGGGACAAGCACCGCCTCCCCGGGGCGGGCCGGGCTCAGCCTCCCGCTCGGGCCTTGCGTGCTGGGGCCTGGCCGCGCCGGGAGAGGCGGCGATGGAGGCGGCGGGCGGCGGCGGAGCGGCGGGCGGCATCGCCCTGCACGAYTTCAGCGGGCAGCTGGGCGAGCAGCGGGTGCACTTCCACGCCATGCGGCTGCGGGACTCGCTGTTCCTCTGGGTGGGCGCCGCGCCCGCCCTCGCCAGCCTGGCCGTCGCCATGTGCAGCCCCCGCGTGAGTGTCGCTGCCGGGGTCCCGGCTGTCCCCCGGAGCCCCGCGGCGCTGTGGGGTGGCCCCGCCGCCCCTAACCCGCSCTGCCGGGACTAAGCCGTGCCCTGTGCTGTGCTCCGCTTGCAGGACAGCATCCCGGTGGCCGCCTCGCTCCTGGGGGACCCCTCGGACACCGCCTCCTCCTGCCTGGCGCAGCGCTTGGGTAGGTGCGGGGGAGCGGGGGAGCTGCCGCCCGCCGGGAACGCGGGGACGGGACCGGGATCGGGACCGGGATCGGGATCGGGATCGGGATCGGGACCGGGCCGTGCCTCCCTGCTGGCCTGGCCGGGCGCAGAGGGACGCTGTGCGCGCTGCTCCGGTTGCAGAGCCTCCGCTGCTGCAGCTTGCGACGGTTTCCATCCAATCCACCGATTAATTGTTTTCTTTTCCATCCGTATACGCGTCTCTGGCACCTGAGTCAGCGGCCTTGGCGCTGTGCACTATCAAGAGTGAATTATTTAATATCCTTATCCTGACTGYGAGTGCGAGGCAGGGGCAGCAGATGTCGCACCTGCCGAGTGGGGTTTCAAGCGACCTCCTCTCCGTAAACCTGTGACACTGCTGTGCTGTGGGCCAGGTGGCCGTCATACCRGGCACGTACATTTTGCCTGAAGATGAAGCCAACCCTCATCACATCTGTCACCTTTTAGCCCCCACATTCTTAGAAATTCTGGCCTGGGAATCCCAGGGCTGTCTCACAGTTGCCTGTGCTTGGTCTGACTGACCCTAATGGACACTGCTTGGGATACCTCTTTTTCCATCACGTATATAGTGTGCTACAGCAACTGCAATAGCTAGAGTCCCGAGTCTTAATCACAGCTTGGAAACTCCCAAATTCTCTCTAAAAAGGTTAAAAATACACGGCCTAATGCATCCTAGCACCTTCACAGCTCTGGCAGCTGAGTTGTGCTGGTTACTCATCATCACCCACCAGTGGCTGATGCAGCTCCAGCTGGTGAACTGCTGATGTAGCTGCTACCAGGTTTTAAAAGCAGCATGCTGAGCTGCTCAATCTCACGTTACTTCTTCTGTTTCAGATGTGAAGGCCTCAGAATTATTAATGATCTGTGTGCTGATCTCTGTTTCAGGCAGTATGTCCTGAGTTTGTATTGTCAGGTACTTCTATTAGTCTGCACCTACTTCTCCATGGCCACATATTAAAAAGGGTTGCTCTCAAGACTGATCTTTTAAAAACAGTACCAGCATCTTTTCTTCTTTATGATAACTTCTCTTTTAATAAACATTGTTTATTGTTGACCCTGTTGGCATCATTTYCTCTACACACTGAGTTCAATCCTTTCTACTTTAAGTAATAATTTTATGGGGTACTGTATAACACAGTCTCTACACGTGTAATTAGGGCCTTCTCCATAGGAAGTCAGTTAGTAAAAATGTAGTCAAATAGGATTTACTTTGGATAAAGTGTAATAGTTCTTTCCACTTCCCATTTGATCTCCTTGTCACTCATTTCTTCTGAGTCTTACTCTAATCTTCTGTGTAGCATTGGGGCCCAGCTGATAGCTTCAAGTTATCCTAGTGACTTCCACACTTTTTTTTTTTTTTTTTTTTTTTTTTGTACATGTGACTGCTGTCTTCTCTCTTAAAAAATTATTACATATTTCATTGTTGAAGTTCATAATAACTTGCCATTTCTTCCATTCGTTCTTTCAGTGTTCTAGGACAGAGGCTGAGTCATCTGATTTTTCTCCTAGTGAGTTGTTTCAGTTTTGCTGCCTTTTAAAAATCTTTTTCTTTTCTTTTTTCTAAAGGTGCTCTTATTATTTCCACACTAATTTCCCATACATTGTTACTGAAAAGTGATACTGTTGCTTGGTAGTGCTCTATAGGTTACTCTTTATCCTTGGAGTATAATGCATCTTCCTATTTTCTTTGTCTTTGTATACGTTAGGTGTCTTTTCTTATTTCGTCTTCTGAACCAGCTTTGGCCCAGTAGGCTTCATGATGTTCCTCTGTATCCCTGCCATCTATTCACTAGGTTGCAGGTTTCTTTGCCAGTCAGCCCCTTTCATATTATTTGTATATACTGTTATTGCTTGTGGGATCCTSCTTAAGGTATGTTATTTTGAGGAAGACAGATTTGTTCAAAGGGCAAAGTCAATAACACACTTCTGGCTTTGAATAGTTATGTGCTTGCTCTTCACTTGAGCTGCTTCACTTGACATATTTCTGAAATCCTACACCTTAGTATTTAGGCTGGCTTTTGTCAGTTCAGCAAATTAAGTCAACTTGTGGTCACTTAGTCCAAATTTATTTATTTATTTATTTATTCTCCTGAAACCAGTGGATCTGCAAGATCATCAACAAGCATCCCTGTRTCTTAGTTTCACAAAGTGCTTGRTAAGGAAATCTGTGTTCTACCTCAGCTAGAAATACCCAGCTTTGCTATCATTGGTGTTTAGTTTTCTTCTGGGAATTTAAATCCTCGTTAATCCTATGAAATCTGTAATAGCAGATATGCACAGCCAAGTCTGATCTGTAGTTGTACTTCCAAGGTAGCCTTTTTAACTGTCCTGACATRTGGTAACCTTAAGGCAGGCACTTTTTCTCCATCTCCTCCCTGATGCCTGTTACCGTTCTTTCCATGCAGTTTCCATTCTGATCTCCACAGGCACTRGCAGGAGTGGCATGCAGTGCCATTTGCAGATAACTGTTTGCATTTCTTATACTTGCCATTCGCATTCCATCCTCTGCCATGTGTTCCTGCAATGTCAGGTTTCCTGCTCTGGAGCAGGAGTTCCAGTGCTGCTTTGCATCAGTGCACACACTCTCCTTTTGTTTTCCTTAAACCTTGAKGGGGGTCCCAGCCCAGCCATGCATTCATGTGTTGGATCTATCTCCTTCCTTATCTGATTCCTTTTTTCTTTTCTATTGCTGAAGACAGTTGTTCCTCACTCCTATTCCTCTTTCTACATCTATCCTTCCTATCTATCTATCTATCTATCTATCTATCTATCTATCTGTCTGTCTGTCTGTCTGTCTGTCTGTCTATCTATCTATCTATCTATCTATCTGTCTATCATCTATCTATCATCTATCTTTGCTTGTATGAGGTGCAGGGACTGTTTTCCACTACCCTGCCTGATTGCTTTGGCACAAGACGTGTCTCATTAGTCAATAAACCCAAATTCTAAGATCGTTTCCTGTAGGATACTGCAGACCAATTCTTGATGAAGTGTTGTCTGTAAGAGCCTCCCTTATCTGCTTTTCCTGAAATCCCAGTACTGATTAGTGCCATGTCTTCAATCTTCCTTTTGTAGGGACTTCCTTCTTCAGACTCTTGGTGAAGATCMCCTCAACCTCTTCTTTGAGTATTTCTCAGCGGGCACTGGTCATTTCCACCACCTCTTTTGCAGCATGAATAGTTTATAGACTTACACCTAATGCTTGTTCTGCTTCTTTTGCTCCTGCTGGTTTCCTCTTCAAGCTTTGGTTTGGGCCTTTGCCCTGTACATGAAGTTGTAGSAGCAGATCTGTGCTGCTGTAGTTTCTCCTGGCACTCAGCACATCCCAGACAATGGCTGTCAAGGATGTTTTTCCTCCACYTTGAAGAGCCAGTGGAACAGGGGTTATTAGCCAGGTTGTACAGGAAACAGGCCTGCCAGAGGGCTTTTTAGGTRAGCCTTGTCCTTTGCAGTTTTCTGCTTTACTCTGAAGTTGCAGATGGTCTTCCATGCAGGCATAAGATCTGGCCTCTTTTGTCCTTTCCACAAGAATGCACATGTCCAAGTGAATCCACAGGAAGCAGGGACAGAAAAGGTCCCTCTGCCCCTCAGAGCTGGGGCACAGCCCTGGGAGCAGAGGTCCTTGGCACAGGCAGTCCAGAGGGATTCACAGATTCACACTGTTCCTGGGAACTGGAACAGCATCCCAGAGACTCTATAGGCAAACATAATGAAGAAGTTGAGTTTTGACAGTGCAGTGCACTGTATAGTTTTGTTAGCTAGGATAATGGTATTAATTAGTTCAAAATTAGCATTGCATTCAATTAGGGCATGATGATGAAGCACTAGTGCTTACCAAACATTCTGCTTTATACCACAAGAATCGAGTGCCAGGTGCTGATTTTTGCAATCAGAGCACCAYGTTGCATTATATCAGCATTTTGTAGTGCCAAGTCTTAAAAGGCAAATCAGTCCTTGCATTTTAGAAGCAGCTCTACTTAGAGTCAGGAAGCTGGTAACCTGTTAGAATGGGAGATAATAAATTCATTTGCATAATGAAAATGYCTCAAGAGAGTTGTTTAACTACATTTTATACATACCTAAATATAGGTTTTCTTTTATATATATGTATTTAGTTTCCTGTTTAGAAAGGATTGAAATATTAGAAGTCATAGTGTCTCTATTCTGAAGTTTTAAAAATTGAGATGATATTTTTGAATATTCAGCAGAACAATCTGATTTGTGCCTGGGATCATTAGCTCCCAGCTCATTCCCTGACAAGAATATCTTGTGACCCAAATACTATTTTTTTATCTTTTATTTTACACAACTAATTTTAAATTTAGAGCCTAATTTTCCTATATGGTGCTTACATTTTCCACAGCATTTAGCTTTAATAATRTATAAAGAGAGTCAGAAATTTGCTATATTACTGTGATAAAATCTAAGCWGGGTGCCATTTTATTTATAAAGCACTTCTTGGTGTTATCTATTCCTCTCTGATAATTAAGTCTTCTTGTCCCACAGGACAGGTTTTTTTTGTCACTGTTAATTTGCTGTGTCATGGAAGGCAGCTCTTAATTTTGTAGCACTTCTCTCTAGGTAYTTGTCATTACAGTAGCTTGGAACTTGTGCTTGGCTTCATCATGTTCAGCCAAGTCTCTCCAGCCTCTTGGAGCATTCATGGACACTATGAATAAAGGTTAAAGGAAACTAAGTTGACAGCAAGCTTAGACAGAACTGGTGCATACTTTTGGGGGCCTTTTATTAATTATAATTAATAGAGCTTAATTTGGGCCCAATCACTCTCTTGTGCACCTTCCCTCTTATATTTTAGATGGCATAGATTTACCAACTCTAAACCTAAATTTCAGTGCCAGGAGTCCGTACAGTCTGTGGTTTCACTCAAAATCTCAGGTATTTAAGAAGTGTCCAAAAATCCCCTAAAAACACTGCAAGGCTTTCCAGTGACTAATGGTGTCTTGTGTCAGGTCAAAAACTACTTGACAGTCACCAGCCTTACATTGTTCATTTCAGGGATGTGCAAAGTCTTGCCCAACACACCAAAGGTCAGAGACTTGTTCTGCTATTCCTTTATAACTGCACCCAGCACAGCAGGAGATCCAAGCAGCATCTTGGAGAGCTCCATGATGTGGCTTTTTGAGAGGCTTGCTCAAATACCATTGTCACTTTTACGGAAGAATAAACTATGGCTGACTTTCTGTTTTGTGTTTTAGCCAGCAAGACGAAAAAGCAGATATTTGTCAGCTACAATCTTCAAAACACAGACAGCAGTTTCACCTTACTCATAGAAAACAGGATCAARGAAGAAATGACAGCTTTTCCAGAGAAGTTCTGACTGTGCATCACTGTAAAAGAAGATGGCTTGTTTYAGAAAAACTGATTGCAATTTCCACACTGACATTAAGTTAGTATATTTCTTTTGTATTATTTTGATTGAATTTGTGGTTGTTATTGAWTATAGATACATTTGACTTGGATTTTTTTTTTGTCAAATAAAATTTGAATTTTCAATTTCAAAGCAAAATATTTTTTTTGCTACCCTGCTAAGTAGGGTAACAGATGGATGCTGCAATGGATGAACAGCATTGTAAAAGTGCATGCAGTATCTGGCCACTACGCAGTACTGGGATCTGATGGGAAATCAGTTCCAAATGCTCTCTGTACAATTAATCTACTGTGTACTAGCACTGAACGTAGTACAGCAACTTTTAGTGTTCAAATAAAGAAACSCCACATTTTTGTATGGTAAAGCAGTGACGTGTGTTACTTTTCTCCTTTTAGTTGGTTGTAGTACTGGTGCTAAACACTGGATTTCCTGCCATCCCTTGGGCACCAAGAACACTGGTAGGGTTTCACAGAGGGTTAATTATGCATGMCTGAGGACTACATAGAAGGAAAAAGCACAAGRYGAGTTCTGGAGCAATGGATWAATCTGTCAGGCTGCTAGAAAAGCRTCACACATGTAAATTGAGMACATACATTAAAGCAGAAAAACCAGAGCAGTCTGCTACCGTGACCACCAGTGAAAAGCATCCTGCTGCTACATCTCGAGCCTTGCTTTTAGGAAGGATGAGYATCCTTTCAAAGGCAGATCCATGGGCTGTTTTGTTTAATGACAGGATAGCTAGGAGTTAACTGTCCAGGTTATTTTTTTTTCATTCTGAGTTGAGCCCTCGCTTGAGCTCAAGCATCAGCTTCTGATACAAGCAAAAACTACCTGTGCTGCTGCTAGACAGCTTTCCTAAGCACCTACAGAAAAGTGATGGGTTTGCTTTGCTGTGGTGCCACAATCAACAACTGAGCACTAACTGAGAGGCTGCTGATGTAGAAGGCACAACTACTGCTGAGTCTTGTCCAAAAGGGTTTGAACACCCAGTGGCTTCAACGTCTCAGATTTGGTRTGGGTTCAGAGAGCCCATCCTTACCTGGTGGGAACAGCTGCCTGTCCTTGGCCAGAGTTCAAGATCAGAATAGCAAAAAGCAGTTAATGAAGGGTATTTTCTTCTTCATTTACACYACCCAGCGGAGTCAACTATGCTTCAGTAATTGACTATAAAGGATAATTAGTTGCAAATCAATGTGCTRTTTTAATTAGCCTGATTTACAAACAACTCATTCTGTTTGTAGAGCAGGGTAGGGCTGTTTGCTGAGGCATCAGCTGCTGCTGGGTGTTTGAGAAGTCACTGCAAGGGAGCCAGACCAAGGAGAGCAAACTGATGGGACAACGTCATTTTATTCTGTACATTTACATACAAAGTTCTTCTCAGTAGGTACAACAGATGTAACATCATGCAGACATTTAGCTTGTAAGACTGTTTTCAGTACTTGATTTAAGCTTGTGCTATGAGGAAGCACCACCAGACTATTCATGATCAAAACATACAGTAACACGATTCTTTAAAACTTCATCAGAAACTGAAATGGGGAGGGAGATCTCGCCCACTAGACAAAACACACCATACTCCTTTCCCGAAACATTTTACATTTAAAACATTTAAAATGAGGTTTGTAATTTCATTATTTTCTTAAAAAATAAAATAAAATTAAAAAGAAGTTAAAGTAGGGGAGATCATCCCCCCACTCAATAGTGTTGTCTTATGTGCCAGCTACAGGCGCAACTTGACTTGACATTCACAGAGTTCAGTTAATGGCACTTCTGCTTCCAATTTGGTGACCAGTAAAGTGTTTGGCTCCAGGAAGTGGCAACAGTTAAGTTAAATACTTCCACTAAAAATAATGACAACAAAAAATGCCTGCTCAGTGAAACCCAGAAGTAAATCACACAACCCTATGTCAGAGTGGCCACAAAACACASGCAAACAGGCGACTGTCGTTATCCATTTGCAGTGTCTGGCAACAAAAGCAGTACTGAAACCTTAAAAGGGGGACAAAACCCCCAAAGATCAAGCATAATGTCACTTCACATTTTAGTTTGAACTTACAGAGATGGAGAAAGCCCTTAAATGGTAAACCCAAAGAAAAATCTACTGATGGGCTTAGAGGTTACTGAAGGTTCAGAGAGAAAGGCCRAAAACGGACGAGATAGCTTGGACTGCTTCCCCTGTCGTGGTGGCCAGAAAGAGCCTCCTGAGAAAAGCCTTTCCTGGTGATGGCTGCAGAGGAGACATGACCGATGGTTCAGCAGGCTGGGACCCAGCAGAGAGCCCTGTCCTGCTGCAGGGCTAGACAAGGCAGGGCAAGCATCCCTGTGCTCCCTTTCTGCCCCGCTGCCTCRCCTGGTACCTGACTCCTCCACACGAGATATGTTCAGTGAAAGCTTTCCAACTCCATGAGCATGTGTGGAAGAACATAATCATCACACAAGTGTTCATGATTTCAGAAAAAGGAGCAAAACTGGAGCTGCCAAGGCAGGAAATTAGTTTTTGCTTTATTGTTGTGACAGAGGCAGAGGGCCAAACCGAATAGAGAAGCTGGGGCTCCCTTCATTGCAGATCAGTACCGACTACCTGCTTTCAAGCAAAAAAGCAGCAAATCAAATCAACTTGGTAAGATTTTTTTCTTAAAAAAAAAATGCTGCATGTTCCTGTCACCTGGTGTATTTACTTTCTAAATGTTGATATGTTTAAATTCTTTTCCCTGTGCCTGTCATCGGAGAGCGACCACCAGAATAGGAAACGCTAAAGCACTGTGGGCAGCAGTGGTGAGCTGACCAGGACCGCTGACAGTGCTGGAGGCAGCCGGGTTTGCAGGCTTGTGGATGGTCTGCGAGAGCTGAGCCGCAGCTGGAGCACACGGGCACACAAGAACACGAAGGAAGGAGCCGCTGGCTCCACRGCACGATGAACGGCAGGACACTGCTTTCTGTCTCTGCTCTCGCACCTTCTCCGCTCTCAGGCCYTTTTTGTCTTCCCTTAAGCCTTTTGCTTCTTCAGTGTTTTGTCCTGAACCCGAATTCTTTTGTCCCCGAATGTGTGTGGCTTGCAACAAGCATCTCGCATCGAAGGCAAAAGGTATTGCACAAATTTGGCACGTGAATACTGCACGAGTGGGGAAGGGCTGGATTCTTTCCTCAGGTGAACACAGACTGCAAAGGTCTCGGCACAGAACAAAAGGAAGCAGCTGCACTCAAGCCTGACAATAAAACTTGAGTGTGAGGAAGATCAGGCTCTTGCTGTCACAGCAAGTCTAGCGAAGGTGAAAGAAACCAGTAGTGTAACTTTGGGCGAAACTACCATCAACTGGTCCAGTGTTTCTTACCAGGCTCGAGAAGAACCCAAATGTCCACATCATCCTCCGTAAAAATTAGCAGCTTTAGGACAACCTTGTTACTCTGAACATAACCACCTGTCGCTTCTGCAGGTCTACCTGTCCCCTTGCATCCGTCAGCGTCTGGGGCTGTGCTGCTTTACTGCATGGCCTGCTGGGAGCATGAATCTCTGATTTATTGGGGACTGTAAGAGGACATTGGCAGCCTCATGGAGGATGGAAATCGTTAGATACAGTAGTTAATCGACAATATATACAGCAAGGGAGGAAGGGGAAGGGAAGGTAGAGGAGGAAAGTGCCAATGAGCACTTCCCCTGCATGTGAACGCAAGATGTACATCAAACAAAGTGGCAATCATACGGACACTCAGTACAACATCGACATCCTGCTGCTCTGCTTGAACGTCTGCACTACCGAGCAATCACAAATGGATGGCCTGAGWGAGAAAGGAGAACAGGGAGGGAGAGCGGGGGGGTTAACACAATGCAAGAAAACTGTTTACAAAGTCCTTGCACTGAAYTAGGTCCTCACAATATTCTCTTGAGTGAGAACCAAAAGCCAATGGCCAAAGGAAATAGCTGGTTTGGGGTCTGGAGGAGGGAAATCGAGTGGCCACTATCAAAGTGCCATCTACACAGCAGGATGTGTGAATTAATCCAATTTGAGTAAACTCTTTTTCCTGAACTAAAATCTTACAAGAACAGTTGGGAAAGTGGGAAAAAAAGGGTGAATTCATTATATAGTCTTGGGTCAGAACCAGAACACATATCTAAGAGCCCAAGACAGCTCAGTAAGTCATTTTTCACAGGCTGTCAATTTATTCYTTTACAACAGTCATTTAAGCAGTTTGTCCACTTAAATTGAAAACCCAAACCCTGGTTCTAAAAACAAGTGAGACAATACCAGGATACTCATTTCCCAGGAGCAGAAATCCCAGCTCTGCTGCCTTTTGGAAGAAAGGTACAGATCACAGCCCATGCTCCTTACTATTTACTCCCTCTGTTCCATGCTCTTTTCCTGGAGCAGTCAGAGATCCTGGGCCTTCTGATGATTACAGCCATTCTTGGCAAAAGTAATTTTTGCATCATTAGTCAAATCATTTGCATCATCTACRTTACTATTAAAGACCAGTGGCAACCACCTAAAATAAATTAATATACTCTTAAAATGCAGAAAGCTGATTCTCATTGAAAAATCRGCTTGTTTGGGTAGGATTTTCTTCAATGCATTTGGTGGAAACAAAAGAGGACTAATTTAGAAAGTAACTTTTAAGTGCACATGGGCTATAAAGACAAATATAAGCTGCCTAAAATGCAGTCAGAGTTTGAGTCACAACAGGTTTTGCTTTGCTTTTTCTTCTTTTTTTTCTCTTCCTTTTTTTTTCCTTTTTAAGTGTATACAAACACAGCCGGCAATCTGGGCACTTGGACTTTCTAGACAGGCAGAAGAATGTTGCACAAGTCTAAGTTTAAGTCAATTCAACTTTGCAGTGGATCCCTCTTTCCTTTAAAGAAACACAAAAACAAAACAGAAAACAACACTCCCCCTCCCCCCATGGTTTCTTTCTTGGAATGGCTGCACCTCTTATAAGATGGCTTCATTTTTGTGATCTATGAAAGAAAAAGGAAATAAAGTGCTTCTTGAGAATAAATCAAAATAAATATACATATTTAATGGCAGGAAAAAAAAAGAGTTCTGAAGGGCTACCGCCAGCCAGGTCTTTTCTCATATGAGTCTTTTCCCCCAAAACTTTTTCAAGAGTAATCTGCACAACAGTTGAAGATGCCAAAATTTGCCTTAGTAGTAGAGTTGAATTCCTCTAAGTTTGTGTCTGCTCCACCACTGGTTTGTAAAATCTGTGCAAAACACCTTTGCCCAAAGTGCTACTCCTCCCGCACAACAGCATCAAATAAAATACAAAAGAAGGTGAAGAAACAGAAGAAGGGGAAATAAAATAATAAAAAAAAAAGAGGAGAAGGGAAAAAATCCACCCAGTTACATTGACTTCATGCCGTTGGC